ACACACCTGGGACACACCTGGAGTCACCTGGGACACACCTGGGACACACCTGGAGTCACCTGGGACACACCTGGGACACACCTGGAGTCACCTGGGACACACCTGGGACTCACCTGGGACACCTGGGGGCACCTGGGACACACCTGGGGTTACTTGGGCACACCTGGGGCACACCTGGGACACACCTGGTGTCACTTAGGGCACACCTGGGACACCCCTGGGGGCACCTGGGGGCATCTGGGGGCACCTAAGACACACCTGGGCACACCTGGGGCACACCTGGGGTCACCTGGGACACACTTGGGGTCACCTGGGACACACCTGGGGCACACCTGGGCACACCTGCGGCACACCTTGGACACACCTTGGACACACCTGGGGTCACCTGGGGTCACCTGGGACACACCTGTGCCACACCTGGGGTTACCTGGGCACACCTGTGCCCCCCCCGTGCCCGCTCACCTTCCTCTTGTGCAGCTCGAGGGCCTGCGAGCGCAGGGCCAGCTCCTTCTCCACGGCCCCCAGGGCGCTCTGCAGGCCCCGCTCCTTCTCCTCCAGCTTCTGCACCACCTGCAGCTGCGCCTCCACCTGCCAATTAGCCTTAATTAGACTCATTAAGGGTTAATCAGCCGCTATTCGGCCGGTATTCGGAGAAATTAGGGAGTTATTAGGGAGTTATTAGGGAATTATTAGGGCTAATAAGGGATTTGGGAGCCCCAGCTCCTCCTCCAGCAGCTTCTGCACCACCTGCAGCTGCGCCTCCACCTGCTAATAAGCCTTAATTAGACTAATTAGGGCTTTACTAGCCAATATTAGGTTGTTATTTGGAGAAATTAGGGAGTTATTAGGGAATTATTAGGGAATTATTAGGGTTCATTAGGGATTTGGGAGCCCCTGCTCCTTATCCTGCAGCTTCTGCACCACCTGCAGCTGCGCCTCCACCTGGCAATTAGCGCTAATTAGACTAATTAGGGCCTCATTAGTCATTATTCAGTCATTATTCGGAGAAATTAGGGAGTTATAAGGGAATTATTAGGGAATTATTAGGGCTAATAAGGGATTTGGGAGGCCCAGCTCCTTCTCCTCCAGCTTCTGCACCACCTGCAGCTGCGCCTCCACCTGCTAATTAACCTTAATTAGCCTAATTAGGACTTTATTAATCATTATTAGACCATTGTTTGCAGAAATTAGGGAGTTATTAGGGAGTTATTAGGGAATTATTAGGGCTAATTAGGAGTTTAAGACTCCCAACCCCTTCTCCTCCACCACCTACAGCTGTGCCTGTCCCTCGATAACGTGTTAAGTAGCGTTAATTAGCCTAATTAGGGCTTTATTAGCCAATATTAGGTCACTATTTGGAGAAATTAGGGAGTTATTAGAGAATTATTAGGGAATTATTGGGGCTAATTAGGGATTTAAGGGTCTCAACTGCTTCTGCTCTGCCACCTGCAGCTGCGCCTGTTCCTCTATAAAGTGTTAATTAGCGTTAATTAGCCTGATTAGGACTTTATTAGCCAGTATTAGGCTGTTATTTGGAAAAATTAGGGAGTTATTAGGGAATTATTAGGGCTAATAAGGGATTTGGGAGCCCCAGCTCCTTCTCCTCCAGCTTCTGCACCACCTGCAGCTGCGCCTCCACCTGCCAATCAGCGCTAATTAGACTAATTAGGGCCTCATTAGTCATT